CAGACGGCTTCCCGCGCACCCCTGCGCGCACCACAGTTTGGGAATCTCAGCACTATGCTAACTTTAGTTGCCATCAATAACAGTCTGTGCTTGTCAAAGACAGGACTGCCACTGTTTGTCAACCTACGATTAGTTAAGTCAACTAACTTAATGTTATTTTTGACTTTTTAGTGGGGCCATAAGGTAATTAATTGGATATTTTTCATGCAAAATCCCAAGCTGGAACCTTTGTTTTGTGTTTCTGGTAATCCTGTAAATCTGACACAAAAGAGACGCTTGCAATGTTCTATCAGACATAATGTTTTTTGTATGCATTATGTATTTCATATATTTGGTGTAATTAGTAATTCTGTGAGGTGGGAAAGAGGGGTAAAGCACAACCGGCTGTCACAGGTTCGAGTCCTGGCCTGATGATTTTTGCCACATGTCTTCTCTCTGTTTCTTTACCCACTTTTCTGTCTGACCTCTTACAAATAAAGAGCCAACAAAACATGAAATAAAACATTTAATTTAATAATTTTAGTAGAAAAATTGAAGTGGGAGGAAGAGCGAGAGGATGGTCTTCTCGCTCTTAAACAAAATGTGTTTGTTTAATTTATGTGAACTAGAATTAGTAAGTATAAGTAGTATGTTGTAAGTATTTAGTAATTTCAAGTGGGGTTAAATTTTTATCAAGCAGTCTACATATGCTAAAAAAATTAAGTAAATGCATGACAAATAAGTTACATTAACTTATTTTTTTTTTTTTTTTGGTGTGTTAATGGATTTAATACTGTTTCCTAAAATAAATGAAGTTTTCTTTCTTAATCTTAAGCTAACTTTGCTTAATGTTTTTGAGTTTGTAAATTTTTTTACATAAGGTGAACTAATAAGAGCAGCTCATTTTTCATATGTTTCTGCCATTTTAAATTGTCACTTAGAGAAGTATTCATTCTGTGCTGGCACCCAGGACAGCACTGACACTTCTCAACAGCTTGATCTTGTCCAGTTGAGTTCAGGTCCTGTCAGAAATCAGGCCAGGCTTAAGCCACTATGTGATTCTAGAATCTAGCTCATTCCTTTGTGTTTAATCTAGACTTAGTTGGACTTCATCAAATCTGTTTTTCATGTTTCTGTCTCAGGTGCTGAGTCTGTGGAGAGGCTATGTGGTTACGAACAAGCAGCCACTCAAGGTGAAGCAAAGCTCACAAAAATCTGTTTCAGCAATGTAGACTAAGAAAGAGAAATGAAGAAGGAATGTATTATCTTCCTTGACTTGTTTTTTAGTGTGATGACTTATTCTTTGCATCTTAGGGTATGTAGTTACTAGTTTACAAACGTAATGTTATCCAACATGATTGGATTGGGTGAAAGCTAAAAAGCTGCAGAGTGAATGTGGTTCAATTGTGTAACAATGTCAGATTTGTAGCCTCAAATCCAGCTTCCTTCTTCCATATGGGTGATGGTGGTGACGGTGGTAGGGGTTTGCCCTGCAGTCGGTGGCCTTCTGGTTCGATTCCTGGTCCACCTGACCTCGTCATTTGTGTTCCTGGGCAAGACACTTCACTTCACGCACCTTGTTGGTCAGAAGGGCTGATGGTGCAAAATTTGCAGCTTTGCTTCTGTCTTTCTTTTCTTTTGAGATTTAAATTTACTTTATAAATAATTATTATTATTATTATTATTATTATTATTATTATATGTTGACACAATCCTGGACCAGGCTCTTTATCTTCTGTTGGCTGTTGATTTGTGAGTTAGTTTATGAATAAGTGTGACTGAGTGAAAGTGCTTTGAGTGGTCAGTATGACTAATCAACAGCTATATCAATTCAGCCCATTTTCTTTATACATATAATTTTATCTATAAACTGCAGTTTTTCAAAATATTACAAATTTTCCTTTCAGTTTGAGTTTGATTTTTAATAATATGACCCCAAATTCTTATCTAAAGACACTTTAAACACTGGTCCAATTCATGTGCAGCTCAGTTTTCTCATTACAGTTTGCAGTGCCAATGATTGAACTGTTGTTGTGCCCAGGTGGAGAGCACGTTTAGCTACCTGGAGATTTCTTCCATCAACATTCACAGTCTCACTCAGGTACACCAGCCTTTTCAGTTTTAACTTTCTTATATTTCAGTTCCTTTATAATTTTTTCTTAGATTTAAATGTTTTTTTTGTTGTTGTTTTTTCCAATAAATGGAAATGTAAAATAAAATGCACAATACCTATGCCAAGAATACACTGTTAACATAATTCAAGTTGAATGCTAGTTGCATTTTTCTTGTACACCTGTACAAATTATTTCTATTCACTTGGCTTTTTTGATCCCTGGGAATCTAATAATTCAGTGATGTGTTTTTTAAAGTTTTTCGATAGTAGAGGCATAAACAACAATAATTACAACAGCAACAAAAATTACATCAATCATAGTAATATTAATAATAAAATAATACTCAGTGCATGTAGCCTATCTTATTTGATGGTTTTAAAGCTGCTGTGCACCTGTTCATTTAATTAATACAAAAGCAGAAGAGAGGGATTAATAATAATGATCTGTGCTTCCTAACTGACCTGAGCAAGATCCTCATTGCAAGAGTGTTAAAGATGTAATAATTCATTGTTAACTTGTACAGACATTCATCACTCATGACATACATGGTTTACAGATTGAGTTGGAGACGGACAGGCAGAGCTTGTCTTTCAGTGTCTTGCATGATGAAGATCTTGTTGCCATGATCAGCCACATGACCGCGTCACTAAAGAGGATCTTCCCAGATTCTTCTCCAGGGTGAGTCCACTTCTACAACATGTGTATCATAAAAGTAGAACATGCTGATAACCAGACTAATACACTGTGAGCACAATTATCAGGCAAGTGAGTGTTTTGACCATATCATCATTTCTAAGCACAATTTTTTAACTCAAAGTTGGATAAACTTAAATGCTTAATGTATTTAAGCATAGCAAGTGATGTATGTGTAATCTTAAACATAAAAAAAACATGTATTTGAACAACCAAAAAGTTTTGTATATCAGAGGTGAGGTAATTTATGGAATGGATTAAATGAAGAGCTCAAACAAAGTAAAACTATAAGCCTGCTGACGTTATGACTACTTAAAAATGATGCTTGTTGATTATTTAGAGCCAGGCCAAAAACTACAATGAAAATGGCTTTTTGCTTCAAGGTAAACTTCTCAAGCTAATGAAGCTTCATAATATGTATGAATTCTTTGACCACTCATCAAAGCAATCTTATATCAGGTTCAGGTTGTGCTTAGCATTAGCATATATGCAAAAACATCACCTGCCTTATGTCATTTAGTTTGTCCTTGATGTAACCTCAGAGTCACTACACTGAGAATCTGCAGCCTACTTGTTCTTGATACATCGCTTCTTTGTGGCTTATTTCTGATTCTGTCAACTTCAGAAAGCTGTTGAAGACCGTTCCCCAGGACCTCCAGGAAAGGCTGCTCACTCTGACTGCTGTCATAGAGGAGCAGCTGAACAGCCAACCAGGCCCCTGTGGTAGGTTTCTGTCATTATTCCATTATGTGACCGGTTCAAAAGACATTGGACTTGTTTCACTCCGACAACACTGAGGATTGTTGTATTCCTTGTTCCTTATCATTTCTCCATATTTTGTGATGTGAACATTTTTCAAGGTGATTGGTTTGGTTTCATTTATAAATAGTAGGTTACATACAGTATAAGATCTTTGGTATATGAGCACCAGTTATGGATAGTGTGTTTTAATGTTTTTCAGGAGGATTCTCCGATACCTATGCTGCTCTTTGTGATTGGAATGAAATGCCATTCAGAGAAGAAATTCAGTGGGTAAGTGATGTAACTTAGTGAAGTAAGTCTGTCTACAGACAGCTGATTTTGTCCTAAACAAAGCCGAGCTTAACATCTAAATGAAGCCCAGTTGTCTGTGTAGGACGTGGACAATATCTACTACATACATAACTGGAGAAGGTTCAACCTGCTGGACTTTAGCCATTTAGAAAGCAAGTAAGAAAGTGGGCAACTTTTTCAAGGCCAGTTTTACTGTATCTTTGTTAAATTTCACTGTTTCTTCTTTCCACAGAGACTTGGCATTGGCAGTAGCAGCTTTGTCTTTCAACCAATGGTTTACTAAGATCTTCTGCAAAGAATTCAAACTGGTACCGTCTGTCATTTGTCTCTTTTTATCTCCATTTTAAAAGACAAACATGTATAAGAAATCTAGTGGAGTGGTGTTTCACCTTTCATCACCTTTGAGTCGTTGGCAGCCTAATCAGCTGATTTGTGCTGAATTTAGGAGCATTCTCATGAGTTCAACAAATAAATTGCATAGGTCTTAGTGCACATCCCTGTGATCCCTAACATATTTAGGAGAAAGTCTTTACATCCAATAAGCAACTTTAGGCTCTAAGCTCAGGGGGTACTGGGTCAGCACTGAAATATGATACAAAGATCAAGTCTTTGGTTTTGATGTCTGAACACTGTTATTTAGAAACATCTCACGTCATGCTAAGTTTTCTGAAAACAAATAATAGCTTTAGATTGTCTTTTGGTTAAAGTTTTTTTTAATTGTTATCTAGAAGGAACATGATTGGTCATCAGATGCACTTAAATATAAATACAAAATCCTTCAGAGATAAACTCTTGTTACTTACTGTAGTGCACATTCATGTACATGCATTTGTTTCCCAGGATAACCAAGTCAGTTGCTCTCAGTGGTTTTACACCCGATACTAACTACAGGAAATGGGAGGCAAACTTTACTGATGCATTGATATTTTTTCAAAAGTCTTATTTTGATTATTATGATCAAAATAGCAATATAATAGTTAGATCAGGAGTATTGTCCTAAGATGTAACTATCAAGGAAATAATTTTCTACATTGGCAAAAGGTTTGTATTAATGGATTGTTTCAAACTCATGTCTATTCCACAGGGTAAACAGAAGGGGTGGGGGGGAACTACATTTATGGCACTAAGCATATGAAAAGTCTTCTAAAATACTTTGTTGGAGCTTGACAATGAATCCTTCTTTCCCCCAGTCAGCTGACATCCAGCAGCAGCTCACTTTCCTGATGTCCAAATCTTCAAGTCTGGAGGAACTCTTGCTGGAGGACTGTGGATTGAAAGTGTGAGTTTTTTGTATAAATGGGTGCTCTGAAGGAAACATGAATCTGTTGTCTTTCAGCAAATGTTGAAGATGAAATAGAAAACGGCTGCATTAGTTGGTGCCTTAAACTAGTGCATTAGGCCAACACTGACATGACATGATCATAGCCTGTAGTTCTGCAGTGCAGGAGCATTTTGTACAGCTTGCGGCCTCTGAATAAACGATTTATGAAGACCAGCAGTCCCTTGACAGGTTGCAAAACAGATATACTGTTTGATACAATAACAGAACAGGGAATAGTTCAATATGACATCACCCAGACAAACATACAGATGAAGTATTTAATGAACCAAAAGCACCAGCAACCAATATGGTTCACTTCAGGTTCCAGAAATTGTTTCTGGATCTTGCTTTACAAGATAAATTATGAACTTTATTCAATATGTCATCTGCCGTTTTTCATCTTAAGATGTGTCTCAATTAATGATGGGCCACATGCTGTTTTTACTTTCTACATTATACTTTAAAGGTGGAAAGTAAAAGTACTGCTGCTGGTATTGACAGAACACAAGAAGTGATATATTGACAAGTGACATTTATTCTACTGCAGAGACTTTGCTGTGAAAATGGCTGCTGCCCTCCAAGAGCACACATCTTCTGCCCTGAAAGCCATCAATCTGTCAGGCAACTCCATTGAAGATAAAGGTGGTCCTTTATCATTTCATTTATTCATCCAAGATATAAAATAGAATTGTTAGTGTGACCTAAATACACAAAATGTAATATTTTGCCTGTCAGATATTATTTTACTTTATATTTACAGTCAATGTTTCTTTTTGGGTTTGTTTTTCTTTTGCATTAGTTCTGCATTTGAATATGTTCAAATTGATCATTTTCTATATAGGTGTAATCGCCCTCAGTCATGAGATAAAGCATCTAAATGAGGGCCTGAGGTTCCTCTCCCTGAGTCGTGTATCAATGAGCGCCAAAGGTACAAAAATTTATATATTACACTCAGTGAACAGAGAGCAGGAGATCAGAACCAACCATGTATTTTATGGGACATGCACCTAGAAGAGACAAAACATTGCCTCTTGATGTCTTTGAAAAACAGTGTTTAAATTGATCAAGAGCTATATGAGGGATCCATGACCTGAAATGATTAATACCGTTTAACTTGTGATGCTTTTAAATAATAAGCTTGCCGACACTGCAGTATTTCCTGTATTTGTAGGTCTTGGCTGTCTGGGTCAGGTGATGTCCTCCTGTCAGCAGTTTTCTACCTCTCTGACTCATCTTAACCTGTCTTGCAACCCAGGAAGTCTGGTGACTGAGGATGCCACGGTAACCTCTGCTCTTTGTCTGCCTGCCATGCCAAACAATCTTACCTGAGTGTTGAGTGTTTCATTACAAAACAATATGCTTGAATATACTTTTAAACTTTGTCCCTTTCCAGGATTTTTCTGTGTCAGTTTTGATTATACAGAACATTTTAAACAATAGCACCAAAAAGTGTTCCTTCTCATATTTTGGGCATGTAGCCCAAGAGAAAAAAATTGTTTTTTGAGAGAAAATGTTTATGGTTCTTTCTATGTAAATATTTTGCAACTGCAGATAAGTAAATGCATACTGAATAGTTTTATTGTGTTTTGTTTTTTTGCAGTTTCTCTTCAAGTTCTTGTCTGGAACAAACTCCCTGTCACATTTGGACCTCAGTGACACCAGCTGCCCTCTGGACACAGTGAGGGGAAATCTTTTCCTTTAACGTTATTTGCTTTAGAAGACACGTAGATGTTTGTGCAATCAGCTTGAATCTCCTGAACAGAAAATCCCAAAATCTTTAGGTTTTAAGACAAATACTGCAATCTTGTTTTATGCTCTTGTGCTCATGGACAGCAGTAAACATTTTTTTATTTCCTTTATTTAACCATGTAAACCCGTTGAGATCTAGATCTCATTTTCAAGAGAGACCTGGGCAGAAGTCTGCAATACACAGCAACCTGGTCACAAAATAAAATTAATTAATACATATGCACAAGCAGGGATGCTGCCAGAAATATTGGGCCCCCTGACCAAAAATTTGTTTGGACCCCCTGCGCAGCTGCCGTTACAATTTTTTGAGTCTATTTGACCCATAAAAAGCGTCAATTTTAAAGGCTTG